CCGCGGAGGCGCCCAATAGGGCCGACACAAGACCACAAGCCGACAAGGTACCCGAGCCGGATTCGAAGGGCAAAAACAAGTTTTTGCCATCTCAAGCCCGGCTCAGGCCCAGGCCCCGTCAAGCGTCTCCGCGGGAGTGGGGGGAGGGTGCGAGCACTGGGCGTTCTAACGTGCTCCGGAAACGCTGTTCCGGAGCTCGTTAGAACGCCCGGTGCTCGCTGGAAGAGAGGAGAACAAATGTCCTAAGCACCCGGCCTGGATCACCTCAAGCACGTCTGCCGCGCCCGCGGCCGCGTCGAGAGCGTCCGCGACCTCGCGCAGCAGAGGTCGCAGGCTCCCATCGCCCCTGAAACTGAACGTGCCCACGCTCGCCGAGGGCGAGTGGAAAAATGTGGCGAGACTACCTCAGAGTCCCGTGCCGGCAAGGCCTGGTCAGAAACTCTCCCAGCTACCTGGCCACTCCCGCGAACATGAGCGTGTGGATGGAGCACTCCATCACGGGCCCCGCCACGACGATGAGAGCCATCAGCTCGACCACTTGCCTGAGCAGGATTGTGACCTACTATTTCTTCTTGCCCTTGAGAAGACGCTGGAGCGAGTCCTGGGTTTTCCTCTCGATGGGCCCCCGAGGGGGCGGACCAATCTTCGCGGTCGCGCCCGCCGCGACGAAGAGTTTCGTGATCACCACGTTCATCGGCAGGACGAGGGAGACCGTGGGCAACGGCGCCATCGCATTGATGAAGTACGTGTGTCGAACTGCGGGCGCCTCGCCCTCCCGCTGGAAGATGGACTTCGCCTTCCAATACCGGACTATCTCGCTGGCCACGTGGGCGTTGTTGGCCTTGATCTGGTCGAGCAGGACGTGCAATTGCTTCATTTCCGTCGTAACGGCCACGTTCTGCTTGAGCTGCTCGTCGTTGGCGATCGCCGTCAGAACCGCCATCCCCACTGCCAAGCCTGGGCGTCCATGACCGTGATGCCCTCCTTTGCCCTCCACTGCCGCCTGGTAGTTCGTCGCCGCCGCCACCGCCACGGCGTTCCAGGCGTGGTCGCGGGGGGGGTCATGCACGAATGGAGGCGCCCCTCGATGGCGCGGGTCCTCTGCGCGTTGTTGAGGTGGCCCTTCATGATGTTCTCGGCGTCGTCGTCGCTCGGATCTTCGTCGTCCGCCTGCATCTCGGTGCCCAGCTGCGCCGCCGGGCCCTTGCCCTCGCTCTCGGGGCGCTTGGCGAGCGGCGCGCCGCTGGAGCCAAGCCCAGAGGAGGCGTTGGCTGAGGTCCTCTTCTTGGCGCCCTGCAGGTTCGCTTCCGTCGGGGGCGGGCGCATCCACGACGCCATGAACGGGGATCTCAAGAAATGCGCCTCCCCCCGCAAGGCAAACGCGGCTCTGAATGTGCCTCTGAAGAGCCTCAAACGTCTCTGGACACTCTCCGCACGCCGGGCACCCAAGTGTAGCAGGGGCCTGGAGGGGATGGCTCAAGTCAGCGCGACACCGATGACGAATGAACAGATAACGCACGCGCTGCTGCGCTATGGCTCGCGTAGCGAACCGGCTGTGGCACCACGCGCACGCAGTGGTGACAGTGAGGATGCTGCTCTGGGCGCGGTGCCCTTGCGTGCCGCCACGTGCAAAACCGCGCATGCGCCCACCAACCCGCTCTATCTGCAAATTCCAATCCGCATATTTGCCCCCCTTCCGTCATCTCCATGCGCCGCCATACTTGCCCATGCGGATCCCCTTCAGGATCGAGGTCAGCAGGGGGAGGGGGAGGAGGAGGAGGAGGAGGTGCGACGCCCATCGGTGCAGCCTGAACCGCCCAATACTTGGATCGCAAAGTTGAGAAATCCAACCGAAATCTTCAACAAACTCCTCGTCAAAAATGCGGAAGACCCCCCCTCCCTTCTGGCCCAGCAGGCTCGCACCATCGTCGACTTGATCAATGCTCAAGATGTCGCGCTCCACCTGGAGTGCCCAGGGATTGCCGTGATAAGTGCCGCCCGGATCATGATAGATTTTTCTGCCGTCGAGGGCGGGGCGCGCGTCGGTGGCCAGTGTGCCGAATAGCGCCGGCCGGACCTGGGTGCTCTGATCAGGGTGTCGCACAGTCGACTGAAGCCACTTGAGGCGACGCACTCGTAGTTCGAGCTCCGTCGGGACCATCTTCACCAGAGTCCAGATCTCTTTGGCCGTCTTACAGATGTGTTTGGTAGTTCCATCCGCCTGCGGTTTGTTTTTTTTTTTTTGCTTACAGCATCCCCTTGCAAGATTTGTTTGCCCCAGTGGAGGAGAAGGGGATCAATGGTCTCGTAATCTACAGGCAGCAACATATACGCTTCCAGTCCACTGAGGGCTGCAGATTGGACACGGGCCTGAAAGACCAATAGACGCATTCGACGGGGGGCCCTTTTAGCGTGCCAGAAGCGCACCATGGAGTACCACCCACGCCGCATATTGTTTTTTAGGCGAAGGCGTTGTTTGTCTGTGTTCAGGTTGCCAGTG